AAATTTCAAAATTTTTCAACCAAAAATTTAATTTTTTCAGGACTTTTCGTCAAACTTTTTAGATAATTTTTCAAATTATTTCATTGAACAAATGTCCTGTTCAAAAAAGTATTCAATGAAACTTTTTACTAAATTATGAAATTTTTCATTTCGCCGAAACTTCCATTTCATCCATAATTTTTTAATAAGAACAAAAAGCATTCCTGATTTATTTTTGAAATATTTAACAGTAACTTTTAATGAATAGTCTATGTGAAAGTTTTTACGCTGTATGGGTACTATTTAATCTTTTAAAATAACAACTAGTACTAAAACATAATTAACTAATAAAGGTATTAGTAATATTATTAAAAGGAAAAATAATAATATTTATAATATTAATGACATTCTGTGTATAACTTAAAATATAAAGCAGTGAAATAAAAGCATAAAAAAAATTGAACAAATAGATAAGGTATTGAAGAAAATAATCTAAAAATTGTTATAGCTGAATGTATTTGCTCCGTGCGTGACCATAGTAGGGGTACCTTGAAACGATGCCAGCGTGCTTAGCGGCGAAATATGACCTAATTGGACCTATCTTTTTACGCATAAATTTTATCAAAAATGTGTACAAATACATGTTGCGTATTTAATTGTGCTAATAATAGCAAAAATATTGAGTGTAGTTTTTATAGGTTCCCAAAGATTACATATAAATTAAAGAAAAGAAAAAGATGGATTTGTGCTATTAGCATGAAAAAGTAAATATCACATAATTTCATTTTTATGCTATTGAAATAGGAAAAATTTTAATAATTTACCTTAAATAATATTTCATAAGGCTTCAAGCTAACTGCCTGATGACTTTAGCTTTTATATCATAACTTTTATTATTATTGTTTTTAATTATATGGTCTTTCACGTGAAAAACTTAATTTTCCAGTACTAGATTTTTCCATTTCTTTTCCGTTTGGGTTGAAAAGATATATTATGATGAATTGTGAGAAACCCAGTTTTAATACTACATTTATTTTGTACATAAACTGAAAAAATATAATTAAAAAACTAATTATTAATAATTGTCAATTTCGCATGTATTTAACAATGTCAAACATATGTCATATGTTTAACCTGAAAATTGGGGGGTCCAAAACTGTCAGATGAAGGCGGTAGGTGTCGCGTGAGTTACGCACGGAGCAAATATTTAAGAAATTTTTATTCTAAAATTGAAATTGCTTTTTTACATTACCTATTGATGACCTATTGATAACTAAAAATTCTAATAACCGTTGTCGATGTGATTTACAAGAGTCGTCAATGATTAAAAATGATGGATTGATTTCATTTAATTTTTTTTATACCATTTAAAATCAACTTACTGACAATTTCCAAATAACAAACATTTTTAAACTTAACATCAAAAATATCAAGTAAAATATGTATTACTTCTGTAGGTACGCAAAGATTACCAAGTTTGTTAGTATTTTGAGAAACTTTATAAGCTTTAAAAAATAATAAAAGATCTGTCATTGAAATAAAATTAACATTTTTATGAACAAAATAATTTTCACACTTTTCACAATTAGTTTTTTTAGACATTTGTATGCAAAATATCCGGCAAGGTACTTGAGTGAATTGAGATAAAGAGAAGTTGAGCCAGTCGAAGATGCATTATTTGATACTCTTTCAAATATTGATAAACATTTAAAACTCGTTTCTGAAAGTTCCTCATTGATGGTCAGATTTGTATCAAATGATTTACAATCAAAAACTTCATTCAAGCTAGAAGTACTATCTAATTCATCTTCGACAAAGTCATCAACTTCCTTATAAGATATTATCGAATCATCATTATCGCTATTACAATCTTGTGCATCTGAAAACCGTGAGCATTTGTTTAAAGGATCATTAGAATAAATAGTATTCTTAATATTTGCATCATGTTTTTCTGACATCTCATCCCCTGCATCCATAAAAGCGCAAACCTCTAAATCAGTTACAGAATCAATACGTTTATTATTAAAGCTTATTTGTCCATCATTTTTTTCTTCAATAACTTCATTTAATTCATCGAATGATTTTTAGTAGCGTTATAGTTTCATCTAATTACGTGAGGAGGGTCATAATTAAAAAAAAAATTTCGACCAAATTTTTCAATGGATGGTTTTTCTGGCGTTATTCCAAATTTTTTATCGCAGTTTGACTGCTACGGCCGATATCGCAAACCACACTTTTAACTTCCCACGATAAAACACATTCCTTTTCTTTGGAGTGCATTAGCGACGATTTAATTTGTAATAATGTCAACAAAGTGTTACATTTACCGGGTTTTAAATCTAACTTATTAATCCAAACTCTAATGTTACTTACGCAATGGAAACTTAAAATGTTTTTTTTCTCTCGAAGGTAGCAATACGCTTTTGGAGATCTATAACATAAAGATATAGCATACTGTTTATCTTTTTCAGTCCATTTACTTTTCTGAATATGGTTAATTTGCCTAACTAAAAATACTTTTATTTCGTCATCAAGTTTATTAAATAATTTTTTGAACTTTATTGCTTCGTTTGAAGCTTTTGTACGTTTATTTCATTTACGAGTTAAGTTGTATATAACATATATACTTGGTTTTTATACCTATTAATCACTTTGTTTTTAGATTTACTTTTTGCCTCATATTTGTTTACAATTTTATTTATTTTTAACTCTGATGTAGTTTTTAATCGTTTTAATGCATCTTGTGCATTTTTAACTTCTTCATTTTTTTTATTTAATTGGTTTTTATTTAATTGCTCTAGTTTGTTAATGATCAAATTTGCTTGAGCCCGATCCAGTTGAGTATCAGGGTGGTGTCTGTTGTCAGGGTGCTTTATGACCTAGTCTGCTCGTTAGAGCACTTTGATTTCTTAGCAACTCTATTACAAGGGGGTGATGTTATTCTCCCCAAGTCTCATTTTATCGTCGGGTGTTGCTGATTTGGATGTTTAAGGATTTGCTATGGTCTATGCCCCAGTTGCAATTTTTGCCTTTTTCTTATCTTCCTTTGTTGAGCTCTGGTGATTAGTTATTTGAGACTTACTTATTTTTTAATTTAAAAATCCGAAATTATACTTCACAATTTCGAATTTTCAAATTATAAAAAATAATTCTTTGGTGTATGTGTTAAAAAGCAATTCTAGCGTACTAACAAGATCAGGAATTGTTTTTTGATCGAAACACCTTACAATTTTTTGAGCTTTCTCTCCCGGTGATTGCCGCTTAATTAATTTTATTTATAGTTTATAAGAAGAGAGTTTTAATTATATTATTTATACTTTTGTATATATTTGAATTAAAAATTTGAGTCATATTTTTTTAAAAAGATTAATTTATTAAAAGTTAAAATAATAATAAATAATAATAATAATAAAATATATTCTTTTCTTTAAAAATTTTTGTAAAATGCAAAAATTTAATCCTGTTCTACGACCACGCGGCATCTCATAAAAATATCTCATTGTTGCATTTGTTGCCCCACTCTTTCATATTTTAGAAGCAATAACAGCGCTGACTGACCGCTCCCTAGTGAAACCTCGATCCATCTCGATCCACCTCCCTTCTTTTTTGTAACGTGCGATCAACTCTGTTCAATCTTTCTCAACTTGCTAAACGGGAAGTGAAAAATTCTTCTATAAGCGTCTATATTCTTTGCTAACACCACGTAACTTTTTCTGTGTGCACTTTTGCATATAGGTAATTTAGGCCAAATTGACTTAATTTCATTCAATAAATTTTCATTAAATCGTGGTATAATTTATGACCAACCTTTTTTGACACCGTGTATAGAGTAACTATACTATTTTGTGATTAAACAATAGAAACTGACATTTTTTAGGGTTTGGTGTTAATCTTCATTGTTTAAACCTGACTTCCAGCCTTCGGATCAATGATTGCATTATTTCTGTTGCATCATGTACCTCTCAGTCAAGAGCCACAATAGCGTTATAAACTGCATCTTGCAGAAGGTAGCAGTTTGTTCCTTCCTCTGAAGCAAATACTTTAGGGGAAAGGGAGAGAGAGCCTTCAGGAACTGTACAGTGATCTGATTAAGTGTCTTTTATTTTAATTTTGTTTTATCTTCCTTCTAGAAACTGTCTAATTAGCCCAATAAGACGGTGTGGGTTAATGCATTTATATATGAGACCCCTGTGCCAAACAGAGTCAAAGGCTAAAAGCAGTAAAAGCTGAATTTTTTCATCCTTTGTTCCCTTTCCTGTCTGTTCTTATCGATAGAAGAAGTGTTATAGTTTTGATAACTTTCCAGCTTTGAATGGTCTTCATTATTGTTGAAGTCATTGTTTTCAGTTTATGTTCTTTTGGATTAATGTTCAATAATTACATGGCTATATACCTGGGCCATATTGTGAGGGGTAAAAAATATGCAATCTCTCAACTAATCATCCAGGGAAAGATTGATGGCAAGAGGGTAGTAGGTCGCAAACAAATGTCGTGGCTACGGAACATAAAAAACTGGACAGGCATAAATAACACTGGCGATCTCTTTATGCCGCAAAAGACATATAGATGCGCGGCACTATAAGAAGAAGAAATTGAATAATTAGTATGAATGTTTGTATCTATAATTTCGGAGATTTCTTATTTAGGATACATACATTTGTTCTCTTTTAGGGTTCTATGCATATTCAGAAATTTTTTCCAAGCCTCATTGATTTCAATTTCCATCTCACAATAACTTTTATCACTGCAACTTTTAACAAGCAAATGGTCTTTACTCTATGACTCCTACTTAACAACTATGTCTTCAAACTGTGTCTCGTTTGGGAAAAAAATTGACCTGTTTCAGTAGTTTCAGAAAATCTAATGAATGTTACCAAATATATGGGTGTTTTCAGTGACCACTCTGTATATTTCTTCTAAAATGTGTTTCAAAATTAGATCAATTCCAAAATTTAATCAGCTTTCAGATGTTTAACCAAATAATTATTAATATTTGCAAAACAATAAATCAAAATACTTACTTAGCTGCTGCACTTAATAATGCTATTTCTCCACCTGGAATACTTGGTCCTCTTTGATAGGCAAGCTCAGTTCCTAGTGCCAACTTAGCTGTTACAGCTTGTAAATAATGTAGAACAACTATTCCTGAACTATTAATTACATCAGGATTGGCTACTGTACAACTAGCAGTATAATCAGAACCCTTATAATTCATTGTTAACTGACCTACTTGAAATTTTGAGTTCTGTACCTTAAATTGAAAAAGCATTTAATAAGTTGAACCATTTAAATTTTCCATATAGTTATCTCAGATATAAAAATTTATATCTGAGAGAGCAAACAAAAGGCTGTATAGAACAGTGGTTAGTGATTTTTGTAGTCTTTACGGATTTCAGGTGTGACAACACAATATCAACACAAATCAGTAGACGCCCAGAGATATAGAAAAATTAGTGGGAATAAGAGTATCATGAAACATTAGAGAAGGAAGTGGGAGGGGAAAAATGAGCAGGAGGTCCCAGAAGGACATAGTTGTTGACAAGAAAAACTAGGTAAATTGACTACCTATTAGATATCAAAAATTGGAAAAAAAATCTTTATACTAGAAACAGTTTTTCTAATACTACTTGAGTAATGAAGTCAAATTATATACAAATATATAATAAAAGGAATATTGGTATCAGGATTAAATGTATATCATAAAGCTATAATTGCCGCTGCTAGTCTGGTTAATAGAACAAGATACATATGTATGTTATTTAAATAATCTGGTAGAAATTAAAATGTATACCTGTGCTCCAAATTTGGCTTGCAGATTTGGCTGAATCTGGTGTATAATAGTGGCATTCAGATTCCCTGAGGGATCAATATCACCCAGCAATATAGGATATGCTTCTGTTGGAGATATCTGTTTTGTTCCCACATAAGTGGCTCCAAATCTATATCCACTGGGTGTAACAGAGCTCATATTTATTGTGTGGGATATTTGGAAGTGATTACTAAGACCTCTTGTAAGCATAACTCTAGCACCTTCAAAACATGTGGGAAAAACATCTGCAAAAATCATTTATTTTTTCTTAAATTTGTCTATACATAAATAATATAATATTTAAACATAAAAATTAATAAAAAATAATTGTCACACTTCGTAAAGGTAAAACCTAAACCCTAAATGAATAACAAATTCATCAAAATTCCTTAATTCAGTATGGGAAATGAATTCAGCATGTTATACAGAATGTTCCACACTAATTAAACAGTCCTGTAAAATCAATAACAATAATTGAACTTCCGTGTAGAACAAAACTTTTTCTAGTGACTTAATCAGTAGCCTTAACAACTGTAACTAGCATTATCCTTCTGTTTTGTGTGTTCAAATGTTCTAAATGATTGGCATTCCTTTCCTCAGGTAGCTTATTTTCCTCCGTGGATTAATTTCTTAATCTTTTATAGCTTCACCGTGTATAATTGAGACATTGTAAAAATATATCGAGTAATATTTTAATAATTAAAGTACATTCACCTGTTAATAAATTGTCGAATAATCTATTTTCCCAATTGAACTTCCTAAGTGTTGCAATTACGGCCTAGATTAAATTGTAATGTAAGCTAATAGTTCAAAGTTTGTTACTATGATAAAAGCAATAACCTGTGTGCTGAGGTATGAATTATTTGTGAGATTATAAATTGGGAATTTGAGCTTATGTGAGCGCAGTCTACTATAGATAGTTACCTAACGAACATCCTAATAGCTGTCAATAAAATCAATATTTTTTCTCCATAACTTCAACATTTTATAGTATTTATCATCGTCAATCGACAAGAAGCGCACAAAGGGGCATTATAAAATGATTCGAACCTCATAGTTACAATCGAGACTTTCCATTTGGTCCTTCGAGCCAGTTGAACCAGCAACCTATGGATCGAGCATTAGATCTGGAAGTTAAAAGAAGGCCGAAGAGGGGTGTCCTAAGAACAGTCCTCACTCATTCGTTCTCATTGGACGAAAATCAGAAGGATCTAATAAAAAATTCAAAACATCAGATGAAGCTGATGTTACAAACAATAGCCTCGATTAACTCTGCACAAGAAAGAATAAATGGACATTTAAATAGGTCCCGAGAAGCACTGATAAATGGAACTAAGGAAATGTCTAAGAGCTTAAGTGATGTTTCGTATAGAGTGGAAGTGGAAACGACTTATAACTGTGCAATGGAATATACAAAAGAATATTCAGACACATACTAAAAAATATTAAATCTTCATTACAATCATGGACACTTCATAGATATTATAAAACTCCGACATACAGTCAATTATTTCAAATGCTACAAGGTTCCTTCCACAAGGAGTAGATATAAGAAGGCAGCCAATAATAGATACAGTTGTACAAAATGAAGAAAACATCTTCATTATTGACTATTTCCTAATAATTGACAACACTAGATACAACCTACTGAGAGTGACAGCTCTTCTGTTGTTGGTGAAAGGTGGTGTTGTGCGCTCGTTGCTGGTCCCAAGGAATCTACTTGCAGTAGATTACAATAACTTACATTATTTTGAAGTGACATATGAAGATAAAGGAAGGTGTACAAAATTAAACAAAGGAGAGTTGGCATGTTCACCAATGGGAATCATTAATATGGATACTCAGCCAAACTGTATCTTAAATGAATTAAATGATAGAACTACCACTACCACTTGCCATATAATAGAATACACGATAAAGGAAGCCAGTTGGTTGAAAATGAGCATACCGAACCTCTGGTTAGTCATTCCACCATACGCTATAAATATAGCTATAATGTGCGATGGTTCTCGATCTGAACATATAATCAATCAAACTAGTTTTATAAAATTGTCACCAAAATGCATTGCTCAGACTCAAAACTTAACATTACTCACATCCAGTAACGGATTGGAAACAGCAATTGGAAGTTATTTAAACACTCCCGTCAGTCCCATTGAAGAGCTTATCCAGAGGCCAATCATAAAGCAGAACAACATTCCCAGACATAATATAGATATTCAGGGAGATGAGTTGCCAAATATTGTACTTGTTAAGATATATCCTAACACCCGTGGAAAACCATTGCTAACCATCAGTGGATTCCTCATTTAACCACGGGACTAGTCACTATATTCATTGTTATGTTGATTGTCATTATATGGAAGATAGTCAGATATTTTCTAGAAAACAAAGGCATCAAAGTTCTTGCATCCAACCTCATCCAGCGCCTCAAAAACATATGGTATCACAACCAACTTTAAGTAGTACTTTAAAGAAAGCCTCTCCTAGATCAGTTTCACTTAATGAGCTTAATTTGAATTAGATAGTCTAGCTGAATAATAAATTCTAAATATTCAAGTTATAGATAGCAATGCTCGGGTGAGATAATAATTCAAAAACTGAGTGAATTAGTGTTATGATTATGTTTATATTATTATTATTTTATATGTTACCACATTTGAGATGTGGTGCTATAGAAGCATTTTGAAAATACCATGGACCCAACGAGTTTCATTATTAGTTCCGCACCGAGAATATTCATTCATAGATACGCAGAATGAATGAATATGATTTTTTGCAAAGTTTTTGTTTGTGTTTTTTTTTAAGTTAGTTCTAAATAATGAGTAAACTTCAGTACATATATAATAACATCTTTAATATACTACATATTGAGTTAGAACTGATAAAGCGAAATGTCTTCTATAAACTTATGAAGTAGTTGACTTCTATATATATATATATATATATATATATATATATATATATATATATATATATATATATATATATATATATATATATATATATATATATATATATATATATATATATATATATATATATATATATATATATATATATATATATATATATATATATATATATATATATATATATATATATATATATATATATATATATATATATATATATATATATATATATATATATATATATATATATATATATATATATATATATATATATATATATATATATATATATATATATATATATATATATATATATATATATATATATATATATATATATATATATATATATATATATATATATATATATATATATATATATATTTGATTTCAGATTATTTCTGGGTTTGACTCTGAGTTAAACAGTTTTGGTTTTTAGAAAAACCATTGCTTTGACGACGTTTCGGCAAGGTAACACTTGCCATTGTCAAGTAACATTAGTTCTGCTTCTTCTTGATGTTTCAGAAGAACTGGATTTGAGACATCAATAAGAAGCAGAACTAATCTGACTTGACAATGGCAAGTGTGACCTTGCCGAAACGTCGTCAAAACAATGGTTTTTCTAAAAACCAAAACTATTTAACGCCAAGTCAAACCTGGAAAAGAATTTGCTAAGTGAATCTAATAATATGAGCACTGTATAAATACATATGCATAATTATATACTGTTAATTGATATGATAAACAATAAAACTGTTTTTTCTACTTTATAACTCAAGTTATTCGAGAGAACAAAGAACTTATGTTATCAAAATTTTTTAAATGGCTCACATAAGTAGGTATTACAAAAATTAGGTTAGGATGCAACGTACTTTTACACTTTGAATGAATCTCTTCCAATGGACCAGGATTTTCAATCACCTCCGGCGGACTAGCTGCAGGATCAGTATCCTTCTTCCTAGGGAAGGTTGTACTTGGTGGAGGTGGTGGAGGAGGGTTAGAGGAATAAGCGTGTACATTACCCATTACTTATAATAGTTACGGACTGATAATAAGTGAATTCCAATTATTAAAAATTCTGCATATGCTTCACAGTTTCAGTCAATAAATATAATCTAAGTAATAATTTTTAGAAACCAACACACATTTTTGGAATTTGCTTGGTTTTGACACAATACTGCAATTGCAGATGACAGAAGGAAACAGTTGATGTGCTATGATTGACACTTGACACGGATCGAACTGTAATTTAAATTTTTAGAGATTAATAATTTAGTACATTTGAAATAATTTAATCTATTCTCCATCTAAAAGTACGAATAAAATAGTGTATATTATGTCTATAGTTGCCGTAAATAAATTAAACTGGGATAATTTTTCTATGCACACCAGATAAAATGTCACTGAACAGCACTGGTTCCGGTTCAAACATGGCTGATACCGTCTGCGCGAACGAGATGCGCGTTCTTAATTTTTCAAGCAGAGTGGGCATTCTGATTGTTTATTGTTCTGTGCTACAAGTGGCCGGAAATTACTATACAACCAAGTACACGTACTCATAGCCAATATTAATGTAAACAAACGTAAGTAAAATAGAACTTTACGAGTTACCGATAATCAATATTTATTACACACACAAGTTACACCATATAATGTATTGATAACAAATAATAAAATTATTTATTGTCCAACATATTTTGAGGAAATAAATTATACAAAATTAAGCGATCACCACTCATCAAGGGCATGATACTATGAACCATGATACTATGATAAGAAGATAGGATATTGCGCATAAGTCGTGACGTCATTGGAGAGTTGCACGTTTGAAATGTCAGTTTTTTGTATGTGTCAATAAATAATCTTTAATAAATAGTTTGGAGATATCCTTATGTGTACGATTATTGTAATTATTGAACCACTTAACTTATTTTCGTCTAGTAATTTCATCACAGAATGCATACAAATGCCATTTAACTTAAACAAGAATTCAAATTCTACTCTCCAATGACGGCATGCGCGAACACGACCGATTTTGTGCTAACGGGAAGATTTTATCTTGTTATTCATCATCAAAGAATATAGACGCTTAGTATCATGCTATACTCCGTTCGCTTAGCTCGGGCATATTTTGACAGATTCATTGTCGGAAACCTACAACACAACAATTCCTACTTCTCAGTATTAATAGCTCAAGTATACTACTATTGCGGACTTCTTTCTTTGAAAAAAAGAAGATTATTTTAAATAGTGGAAGTGTATACTAAACCCATCAAATTTTCCCTGTATATTTAAAATATAATCTTTGAATTGTTATTTAATTGAATTTAATATAGTTTTATTGTTTTATTATCGTTGTTTAATTCTTTTGTTAGTTCTATTTAGTTAATTAGTTAGTTATATTTAAAATTTTATTATTATACATAGTTAAAGGTTTCCATTTGTTCCATCAGCTAATGCGTTGATAAGTTTTTCTTAATAAGTATGATAATATTACTCTTTAAAAGTTATTATTTTTAGATGAGTAACGATGCTGTTCCTAAATTACAAGGTAATGAAACTACACAAAGGTTTATTCAAAATGCCTATCATTTTTTTTTTAAATTATTTGCCGAATGAAAACCCTGTTGAGGTAAGTTGCTCATTAAAATGTATTTATCGAATTATGTAAATGTTAAAAATGTTCTTGATAACAAAAATATTTCAGTTAACATCCAAATGTCTGAAAGTCTTAGAAAAAAAATGTGCGGAAATATAAAGATGGGCATAATACAACCTTAACATAGAAGCACAATCGCAAAATGAAAATTAACGACTGACTTATAAATCATAGTATCAAAAATCAAATTCGCTTAGAAATTTATCGGATGTATGAAGAAAGTAAGTTTTTATTATATATATAAAAAAATATATATTTTATAAAAAAGTTAGGCTAATTTAGTTTATATCGTTAAATTGCGCCAAATGTAGGCAACCAACTTAAAGTTTTTAAATTCTTTATTATTAATCCTCTTCTAAATCCTCTTAGCATATGGAAGTACACTTCTTTTGTAAGATAATTAAACCACAATTTATGTTAATGGCATTCAATGAACTGTTAATCGTTAATTATTGATTCCATCCTAGTCACAACATAAGGAACTTGCTGTGTCCCATTTAACCTCACTTTGACTTCTTAATTTTGTAGAATATATTCCCACTATTTTTATTTTGTACAATACATAATTTTATTATTTGTTATCAATACATTATATGGTGTAAATAAATAAATATTGATTGTCAGTAATTCGCAAAGTTCTATTTTGTTTACTTTTGTTTACAATAGTATTGACTAAGAGCACGTATGCTGGTTGTATAGTAATTTCCAGCCAATGACGTATAATATATAGACTCGGTGAACGCTTTAAAAAGTGTCCAAAATACTCCAAAACATGAATACCTTTGTTATTGTTGGGCGCGTTCAGCAGACGGAGCAGCTACCGCTCCGCTACTTCCGAATCCATCGGTTTGCGCTGGACCAAATGTCATAAGTCAAAACCTGCTGGATTCCGCTACCGCTACCTTATCTGTCAATGTCAAATAATTTGTCATTTTAAAATTAGATATTTTGTTTACGTATAGATTGCCAATTTAGTTTGACTTTTATATTATTAAACTTTACGTCACATTACTAGCGGACAAGGAAAATAATATCCAGCTATTTGGAAATGTTGTGGATCAGTTGGCACAAAATGAAGAATTAGAGCTGAATAATGCTGAGAGAGCTCAAGTGCCTCGTAATCAAAATTTTTATGAGGAAACCATTCCCCCAATATATGGGAGATCTTTTTGTAAAGCATTTTCGCATGAGTAGGGAATGTGCTGAAGTAGGTTTTAGTAAAGATTATTAGTTCTTTGAAAACTACATATAAATGTTTTAGGTAATTACTCAGCAACTAGGAAATTTAGGAGTTATACCCATTGGAGCTACAATTCCTTTAGATAAAAAAGTGCTGCTCACCATCTGGGTTTTAGCTAAACCAGAATCTTTTTTAGCCTGTGGCGACAGGTTCAATATAGCCAAGAGTACAGCCCATAGTATTTTTAAAGAAATTTTGTCAGCAATATTCTTATTAATGCCTCAATATATAATGTGGCCAGATAACCACAATGAAGCAATAATGGTAATTATAGACTTTGATCCACAGACTTTCTGAAAACTGAAGATGAAACGCAAAGAATGGGCAAACTTACCTCAAGAACAAGTTGATGCTTTGATTAGAAGCATTCCCCATCAGATTGAAGCTTGTATTAGAGCTAATTTAAAGCATTTGTAACATTTTTTGATTGTTTTTTTTTTATAGTAATTTAGCTGGTAGTATAAAATGTAGTTCATTTTCATAAATTTCAATTTCATGAATTAAAAAAAATTTAGTAATACTTTACAAAATCGGAAATACTGGGTGATTCCATGTGTATATTATTGATTTTTATTAATTATTATTGATGTGTGTATATTATTAAACTATATCCCATATATTTCTTGGGTCTATGTACAGTTGACTTGTTTGCATCTGTAGGTAATATAAATAATATTAAAAAATAAGTAAATATAAATAAAATTTGGTTTATATGTGCAGCTTGTTGGGACTCAATAAAGAGTACTTACTCTACCAAGACCACCTTGAAAATCTAAGAATGGTTATATATGTAGCACTGCCAATGACATTCTTGCATTTTCCATTTCTTAAATACTCTCTTAATCAACTTAGAATGCTGATGGTATAATTAGTCTTTTATTGTATGGATTAGTATATATTTTCATGTATAAATAGTAGATGTAAAATTAATGAAGTTAATATAATTAAGATATTGTTAATTGTGTGTGACTGTATGCAAAGAGATTTGGCTTCAAACCTATGTTCATTAGCCACAAATCATATCAATAGCATATTAACTTTTAATTTAATATATTGTATTATATGTACCTACTTTTAAAGAGTTACCATATGCATATGCTAGGATTTGCACAGATTCTATTAAGCATTAACCAGGTATAGTCTTGTAGTGAACAAAAAGTGTGCTATATATATGCAGTATTTGTTTTCTCTAATATTTACCTAAATGTTGCAATATTTAATGAGTTGTCAAAATTTAGATAGCCTCATAAGCCTTAGTTTCCTATTATTCACTATCATTATGTGCCATGCAACAGCAAAGAGTATGAAGGAGAGTAGTTCTTCTGTGATTTGGGTATTGAGATATATCTCCCTTTTTATGTATTGTGCAAGTATTCCAATCACTGGGGAGGGACTGCTGTATATAGATCTGCTGGAAAATTAGCTACTCTTGACCCAATTACTACCTTATAAATATTTTTACTTGTTAATTGAAAAATATGACAGACCCCTATTTTATATTTGATGCCATTCAATCTAGTGTTATAAAACATTATAAAAGAGAGTGTTAGTTTTAGGTGGTTAGAATCAGTATTACAGAGTTATTAGGATGTAAATGTAAGTAATAGAATTAAAACAGTATGGATGAAATAAGTGGAGTTCGGTGTGATGGAAAAATACTAATAAAGCTAATAGGTAAACTCAACAGGACCTATTTATTATTAAATATATTGTTGTATGTAAAGTTCGGATACAAAGAGAAGTCTCAGAGTCATTTAAAACTAACTGAGGACTGCTTTGGGAGATGTACTATCATGCTTGGTATTCAACCTACTGTTAAATGCTGCAGAAAATCTTGGAAGGAGGCGACTTAAGTGTTGTGATAAGGATAAGAAGGTACCGGTAAAACTAAAGGACAGGCTCTATAATACTGTCTTGAGACCAGCCATTATATATGGTACTGAATGTTGTACAGTAAATAGGAATAAACAGAAATTACATGGCTGAAATGGGCATGCTTCATTGGGTGAGTGGAGTAACTAAAAAAGATGAGGTGAGGAATGAGTATTTAAGAGTAAGTTTGGGTGTGGCTTCTATTAACAAAATGAGGGAACATCTATTAGTGGCAAAAAGGCAAATAGAATGATGATGCTTTTAAATATTTCGGTTCATTAATATTTATGTTATATTTACAAACTTTTCTTACTTGGCTTATAAACACTATCCTCTGTAAAATCATTAATTTTAATAAAACAAAAGCTACTAAAAATATATCATTTTATTTACATTATACATGTTTTATTTACA